GTTTCATTCTTTGTCACTATGGAATACAACCCTTGTGTAACATACCTGGGATTTCATCAGATTCCAAAATGAAGCAAAAAAAAGTTTAAGCTTTGTACCCCTTTCACTTTGCAGCACCAGGACCCCATTGACCAATTAAAAGTGGTGCCATGGTTGCCGATTTTTATCTTTCCACTGGTGAGAGCAATCTCTGTCCTTGGTGCTCTTGTCTGTCCACCATTTACAGTCACTGAATTTACTGCTCCTTTAACTTGCCACAAGCATGAGAGGGAATAATTTGCCTTTCTCTATCATGAATCCCTTTCTTGGCAAGATGAGCCAGGAGGTAAGAAAGATCCTATATCTTGTTGTCTCATCTTAATTATCTGGTTGCACTCTTGTAGGCACAGTTTGGGTAGTTGAAAGCCAGTAGGGCATCTGCTGCTTCAAAGATTTCTGAGAAAGGACAACTTGGTCATTGGATGAAACACTGTAGGCTCCAAAGAGCTCAAGATAACTCACATGTATCTGCCAGGTTTATGTTTTGTGTTTGTGCAAAAAAAAAAAAGACACACACACATATCACATAATCCTTTCCTGCAGCCTGAATGTTTTGTTCTAGTTGCTTCTGAGCTCTGGGGGTCCTGCCTGTAATTCTTCCTTTCTTTTATGGTATGGGGATAGAACACAGGTCCTTGCGCTTACGACATAGGCAGCTTCATCACTAAGCTAAATCCCCAGCCCTTGCCTGTAATTCTCTCTTCTGAGTCACATTCTTCCTGTCACTCAAACTCTTCCACCACTCCCACCTGCTAAATTACTCCCCTCACCTCCTAAATGTCCGATAAACTGGGACTTTTAGACAAAGGCCATGACTCTCATTTCTGAGGTTGATGGGAAAAATCATTCTTGAATGGTAGACATCCTATGGTAGACCGTAATGGATCTTGGGGTCAGGTCCTTTCTAGGGATATCAGGAAGGGAACAGCCTTCCTGGAAACCTATGAGGACCTATCAAGAGCCCACTGGGGCAAATCTTGGTTGATTTATACATTTACATTTGGATTCCAATTTAAGTTGGTAATTTTGTTTAATTAGTGTGCTTTAAACATTTCTTGTGTATTGGGATAGTTCTTAAACTGCAATTACATGGTTAACTTACTCTTTTGATGCTTTCAGCTTGGGCTAATATAAGGATGATGCTCAAAGCCACTTGGACATGTGTTGGTCAACCATCCTAACTAATATGTAAATATCTGAGGATTTTATATAATAAGTTTTTGGCCAACAAAGATGAAAAAAGGAAAGGTAGAGGCAAAATAGGAGGTCCAAGTACATCAAGAAAAGCTTGTAGAGGATGAGGTTTATGAAAGAAAATATATGTTTGGTTATTTTAAATTTTGGCTCTCGGTTTGGTTGAGCCTAAGATGTGCCTTCTAAATCTCCTTGTTGCTCAAAGATGACTAAAGGACTATTACACTGACTCTCAAGTCATCAGTCACTCCTCCCAGATCCCAGCTCTTATCTGACTGTCAGCAATGGTCCTTCTTTATTGCTTCCTGTGCTGAGGATGCAAGTATGAGGGACACCACAGCCAAGTAGGATTTTCTGTCTTCTTCGATGGGAACGAGGCAGAAGAGTACTTGCCGGTGACAGCCTGTTAGGCAGATGGCCACCCAGGTCTAGCCAAGATCTCTGCTTTGAGTTTGGGTTTAATGGCAAACATGGCCTGAAAAGAATGCTTGAAATACTTTGCCTGATTCTATGGCTGCCAGGATTCTGCCCCAGGATTATTAGTCTTGATTGTCCTTTGGCACATAATAGAGGGTCTAGAAGTTGATCTTTAGTTTCACTTACAGAAATATTTCAGTTTGTTTTGGGTAAAGGAAGTCCAACTTCTGGTTACAATGAAAGGGCTTGAAGGACACAAGAGTGGGAAAAGGGCATGGTGGTCAGAGCTACTAATCTGGGACCCTTACCCCACTCTCAATCTTAGTTTGTGGTCCTTAGCAACTAGGCCCCCACAGGCAGCCAAAGGATGCCTTGGCCCGGGAGTACTTCAATAGGTAAAGCAAGTGATGCCTTCTGTCCCTTTGATGATTTTCAGAAAAATAGGAAGCTCTGTCTCAGTTCCCATCACTTTGTTGGAATGCATCCTCAAAAAGTAGGAATCCTTTGACTCTCAGACTCTAAAAACAGCGCTGTTTGACCTTCTTTTGTACTCTTTCCTGGCTCTCCTGCTGTCTGAGAAACAGTCTCAATTCCCCCACCTGGACAAATATTTCCTCAGGACAGAATTATCAGCCTGAAGGACAAGTTCATTTCTTTATTTTAAGCCTTCTAATTTCTTCTGTAACTTTGATGGCACAGGACCTGTACGGGGTTCCTGTACTGGCCCTCTGTAATGTCTCTTTCCAATATACATATGACTATGATGAAAGAGAAAGGGGACCTCACTGGGAACCTGAAAGAGAAGAGTGATGGTACCCCAAGTTCTCTCACCCCTCCTTTTTGTGGGGGAAACAAACACCATGACCATTCGGGAACATGGGCTAGATCCATGTTAGAACTAAATGACACCAATAACCACACCCGGGCTTATTTCTCTCGATGTTTGGGCTTTGTACTCAGTGAGACTAGACATTACTTCAAAGTTTTCTCTTTTTACACATCACCCAAAATATTGCATGTCAGGCCCTCCAAGATCACACCATTAAAGACACCCGTGTGCATAGATGACTGGTTTCCTGGAACCAGACCGTCTCCATAGGTGCATGGGCACCCCCTGGACCCCAACGTCTCCCCCAGTGACATAGGCTTATGATCCACCTTTAAGTTTCCTTGGATACCAGGCAGAAACACCACTGTCTCCCTGGCGTGAACTGGCCTCTATTTCTTCTGTAAGAGGCTCTTTTATCATACTCTGTCTGCCTTTCTCATGGAGGAGGAAATGTACTGTTGTCAGTGCGCTGATGCATTATTTTTTAATCACCTTCCTAATGTCTAAATCCATCTTTAATCTGGGCTCTTTCCTAAAACAGTCTCTCATCCAGTTTAGGTCCAAGAGGTTTCTCCTTAAATCCCATGGGGTGATGCTAGTAGACCCTTCCTATCAATGTTGATGCTCTTGCTACTTCCCATTTACTAAATCTCCTTGTTTGCTCTGTTTCCTCTTCCCTAGAGTCTATTAAACTTCAGATAGTAATACAGATGGAACCCCCCATGGAACTCCCACCTGATTTCTATCATAGGCCATGACATAAGCCCTTGGGACAATGCCCCTAACTGCCAAACCCTTCTCACTGCCCCCGTACAGCTGAAGCTGCTGGAGTAGTCACTGTCCTTTTCCCTAAGGGCAGCAAGGGTCACCTCTTCAGAGGGGGGAATATAATAGGAATTAGTAAGATAGAAATCAGGATTCTTGGAGGCAGAAAGGACAGCAGGCCCAAAATGGGATAAAGAAATTAAAAATGCAGTCTTCTCAGTCATGACCTTCCAGGAATCTTACAAAAACATCTGCCAGCTGCCCTGTGGCTGTTCTGAGATTTCCTCAGAGCATGAGCAGGCACGCTATTGGCTCAAGGGCACATGGGCCCTGCCTGGGCACTGTGTGAACACTACCTATATAGACCCTAAAGACCATGCAGTTTCCTATAGGATAGAAATTATATTGCTTGTACATGTTCCAAGCTCCCTTATAAACCCTTTAAAAAACCCTAGACAAAGAGCCCTAATAGGTACCCTACTAACAACCCCCTTCTGGCTAGCAAGAGTTTTACTTCCTCACCTTTATATATTTTAAATAAATTTGCTTGTATGCCACCTTCTTCATCTGTAGTTTCATTCTTAATCACGGTAGGACACAACCCCGGTGTTCTGATAACAATATGATGTCAAATCAGATTGATTTTCAGAAAGGAGAAGAGATATGGTTCCCGAAGAGATATGGCATTTCTTTATCGTGGAAGGAATGGAAAAGGTATCAATGGACACAGTGTTTGTGTGCTACATGCTGTAGTTATAAATAAAATTACCACATCATCTGACATATATGTTATACTATTAATTTGGTAGCAGTTATGTTTCTGATCTCTTGTTTTTGTCTGTTATTCCCTGTTCTCCAAATCATGATCATAAATACTTTAACCTAGAAATATTATGCTTTTAAAGCAAATTGTTTTATAAGGATTTTTAGGGCAAGTTCTGGGACACTTTTAGAAGATTTGGTGGAGGTATTGCCCTTTATTTCTTAGTTTCTTTGCAAACACAGCCACCTCTACCTGATAGTAGATTTTTGACATTAATTCTGTTAATAATTGCATTTATTTCATTGTAAAAACGAAAATTCATTTTCCCTGGAAATATTTTCAAATATCATAGTCTCTTGCTAATGAAGAAGAGAGGTGATTATGGTAGCTGTCTCACGTATTTTTAGAAAGATTTCAGGGGAAGATACGGTTGAGAGACTTTTGCAAGTATCATTTCCATGATTTTGCCCATTTATGAGTTAATATTCATGGAGTACCTCTTATGTGACAGCACAGATGACCAAAAAGATGTTCTTGGTAGAGTGATTGAGCATAACTAATATGCTCAATATAAATACTGTGCTTTCCCCATTATATGATGTGTGATCCAACATGGAAATAAGTGCTTTAATTTTCGTTTTCCCTTATTATGTTGATGAGTTCCATTAATCAGGAGCACTGAATGGTAAGAGGTAAGGTGCATGGTTAGAGGGATAGGAAGCCAATTTCCATAGCATTTACCGAGTACTTCCCTGTGGCTAGGTACTGCCCACATAGGCCTACGTTTTGGGTGACAATCAAAATGACAATCAGTTGAAGGAAGAAATGCGTTTTAAAGTAAGACGCAAAATGTATTTTGCTTCGAAAGGAAAAAGGAGGACGGTAAGGAAAGCTGACGAAACAAATTGAGGGCCAGAGTCCTGATCAAAAGGAATTCATAGTGTCCACCAGAAACAAGTCCAATGAAACAAGGACTGAGGATTTGCTCCCTACCTGCTGGAGCACGAAAAAGGTGATTTTTGCGTGTGGTGTCCTGCGACCGACACGTCCCGCGAGGGTGAGGACAGAGTCTCGCGGCCACGCTCGCCCCACCTGCTGCGGGAGGTGGCCCAGCCCCACCGTCCGGCGGCTCGGCTTGGCTGT